TCTTTCCTCCCTCCCTCTCTCCCTCCTTCCTTTCATTTCACTTTTTTTCGTTGCTAATTCTTTCTCCTCCCTCCCTCCCTCCTCTCCCTCCCTCCCACCTCTTCTCTGTGACAGCCCTTTAAATACTGGAAGGCTGCCATGCTGGTCAGCATGTTGCACAAACAGTCAATTCTGCAGATCCACCTTAGTATTTGAAGCATGTTAAAGAGCCCCAAAATACAGACAGGTAATTATGACTGGGTATCAGATTACAACTCCCATCTCACAGGGCTCTACATGATATTGTTCTTGTTGTCTTTTTTTTTCTTCTTCTCATTAGGGTCTTAAAGCTTTTGGACTGGAGAAGATTCATGATCTCTGGAAGCTCCTTCATCCCGAACGTGAGTTCTCTCAACTGGCATTTTTGTATTCGTGCAAGTGGTGTAAAGGTCGCCCTCGACATACGACCGTAAAGCAGCCTGGCCACTACGGTCATAGGTAGCGAGAGTCTGAAATGGCTCAGTCATTTACAGCCCCCTCCAGTGCTTAACAACGGTGACAAGAAGGGTCATAAAACGGGGCAAAACTCGCTTAACAAACGCCTCGCTTCACAACAGCAATCTTGGTTGGTAAGTTGAGGACGACCTGTATAGAAACTCAAGAAGGCCTTAGGGAAGAATTCCTACCCCGGCTGGGTGTAAAATACGAGCTCTGTTTATACCACTTGAGGGTCCAGTTGCTGGCGGCACTGAATCTTCCCCATTCTCTGATCCTCTGAGAGCTGCAGGCAAGAAAACTTCATTTTAATGTATGACGATTAGTGTACATTCAAGGTGGCAATAAAGTTATTGTTGTATTCTATTCCGTTCCTTATTCTGTTCTATTCATTTCTATTATCTTCTTATTTTCTTCTACTCTATTCTCTTCTACTTTATTCTTGTTCCATTCCATGCTATTCTATTTCCATTCCCTATTCTATTCTTATTCCATTCTACTCTACTCTTATTCTATTCTATTCTATTCTGTATTATATTATATTCTATATTCTATTCATTTCTATTCTATTCTTATTGTATTTTATTGTATTTTACTCTATTCTACTCTATTCTTATTCCATTCCATTCCATTCATTTCTATTCTATTCATTTCTATTCTTTCCATTCCCTATTCCACTCCCTATTCTATTCTGTTCTGTGCTGTTCTGTTCT